GGGCAGCCACGGCGCGCCCGCCCCCCGCGCTGGTGAGTGCGGCTTCCTGGCCCCGGAGCTGGGCATCCTCCAGTCCTGGGCGGCGGGTGCTTCCTGGGGCCGCTGGTGACCTTGGGGCAGCCGCTCGGTAGATTGGCTTGGGAGAGTGTGCGTGGCCCGTGTGATGTGTTGTGGGCAAGAGGGTTAACTGCATGCTGACGCGAAGGGATGAAGTTGGGCACAGAGAAGAACTGGCATTGCATTTTCGCCAGGAGCGAGGAGGGGTTGCATGCTAGCAAACCAACAGTAGCCCCGAGGAGCTGTTTCGGGGAGCTGGGGTGGTGCACATAGTGTCAGGGGGTTAGTGGCAAGTCAGCCGTCCCACTACTCAAAGCCGAGTGACCTTGGACAGGTTAACCTCTCCGCATCCCTCCGTTACCGCCTTTCTTATTTTCAAATGAAGAGCTTGGATTCTTTACAGTTCTACAGTGCTGTTGTGACATTATACTGTGAGCTGAGAAAGGTCCCCAAAGTAGAGGTCTGGAGGTACAGGATATAAAAGGTTTGTAAGTAAGGGATTCCCATTCACTCCCAAAGTGGCAAGAAATGTTAGTTTTATGGCAGATTATGGAGAGAGCTAGTCAGTGGTCTAGCGGGTGCTTTAGCAAGATACACAGATTAAAACCCCTTTGGTGCCCCAAAGTCATGAACAGAAAATCAGGGTTAATGCTCCGGAGTTCTTCTTTCTTGTAGTTAATCTAATAGAAAACTTTGTATTTAAACAGGTAAAATCAAAACCAATAGTGGCAGGCAAATTAAGTGAGTCATTTCTTCAATCTGCAGGAGGTTGTGTGTGTGTGTGTGTGTGTGTGTCTGTGCCTGTGTGCCTGTGCTAGCGCCCTCAGTTTAAAGTCTGTGTATGCCAGTGTTAAAAATTATCTCATAGGAGTAACTTAAAATAATGCTAGAATGATCTGGATCCAGAGAAATGCAGCTCTTTCAGAAGCAGGTGCAAACATTTGCAGCTTGCTCTTTAAATAGGAGTCAGGTTTGTGAAAGTAAAAACATTCTTTACTGAGAGCCATCCCTCGGATGTGCAGACTGTGCCTGCCTGCAAGGTCCTGTCATGGGGATTATATGTAAAGGGGGTGCTCCTGAGACCCAGTAAGCTGTGGCACCTTTTCTGTTTTTAGCATCGGCTGGCACTATGAAGAGACCCTCAGGCCCTTCTCCGTACTCTCAGCCCATAAACTTCCTTTTCCATGGAGGGGGAAGGGAGAAAGTACCCTGTATCCCTCTTACACATCCCTCTCACCATGGGTTGCCCCTTCTGACTTTCTACTTCAAGCTGCCCTTGATATTCAATCTGATTCCATCTGTATAAAAATGTGGGTTGGGAATACAAAGTTTTCATTGTTAATGAATAAGCTTCTCAAGCTTGTTTACCAGAGAGCTTAATAATCTTCAATGGTTTACATGTTAGAAGCCTGATAGCATCCAGATAGAAAAATTCTTACTGCTCAGAAATTCGACAGCTAAGCCCTGCAAACCCTTTAATGAATTACACCTCATTCCATTTGGATCTCTCATTAACCATTTAGCCTCTTCTCCTGGAAGGCCACTAAACAGCCGTTCAGTCTTTTGTTTCTTATTTCCTGCAGCAATCCTCCTGTATTTTCATTTTTCTGCAGCTAAACCCATCTGTTCCCGTCCCCTAACACCACAGCCTGAGTGAACAACTTGCCCCTAAACAGCCCTCTGTAATGTCCTCTCCTATCTCTGTGGAGCAGGATTGACTTTCTTGCTTAGTGTCACCTCCAAAGTATTATCCCATCAGTAATCAATAATGTCTTATCTTTAGAAGTTAATGCTCTCTGTTTGTACCCCCATACCTTCCTTCTTTTCCTGTGGGTCAGTGCTTCCCAAGCCTTTTGGCTTCCCAGAATTACCTAGGAGCATTTGGAAAAATGTCACTTTTCAGACGGCCATAAACATATCAAATTAGCCTCATCAGGGTGGGTGAAACCTACAGATCCTCATTTTAAAAACAAAATGTGAAAAAGAAGGAGGGATGAGAAGGAAGGGGAAGAGAGATGGCAAAGCTCTTCTGGTGACTTTGAGTATGGCCAGGTTTGGGAATAATTTCATTGATGCACAAGAGAGTAATAAACAAACCAAACATGGACAACTAGCGTGCTCACTGCTTTGTCTGTTGCCAGTGGCTTTGGGGTTTATGTTGAGGCTCTATTCATTTTTGAATTTTTGAAGTGCCTGAGCATCAACTCATATGGCCTTAGTTTCCACTTTGCTTCAGTCACCCACATCTTGGACTTGTTCTGTCTTGGTAATTTCTCCACCTCCAAGATCTGGAACGTGGGCTTCAGTCTGATTAGCTGATTCTTTCCACTTACTACACCTGATTTTAACAATCACCAAGAATTCTGGTGCCTTAATCAGTGACTGTTCCAGTCTTTCAGCTCTTTTCTGGCTTCTTCTCTCTACTTGGAGTGTACATGTTACCTGTTAGTTCTGTCTGGAATCCTTGGATCCTTTGTCTTCTTAACATGTTGGACCTCTCCTATTCCAATCCTCAATCCAAAATCACCCTCATTATCTGCTCTCTCTTCTTCTAGTTGGCCAAGTTATCCAAGAGAAAGGTGCAAAGACCTTTGGACTGGTTCCACTGTAAATTTTCATGCAGGCATTGTTTTTTTTTTTTTTTTTTTTAATTTAAAAAAAGGAAAAAGAAAAAGGCTATGTTTCATTAACTCCCAACTGCATTCCTTTAGAGACTATCCCATATCTTTTCCACTCTTTAGACTACCAGTCAGATCCCTCTCAGGATAGGTTTAAGGATGTTTACATCCTAGTTTACTGTTCTCTTCCTCAATAAAGGATCCCTGGTAGCTCAATGGTAAACGTTCAGCTGCTAACCAAAAGGTTGGCAGTTCAAACTCATCCAGCAGCTTCATGGCAAAAAATTTGACGATCTGCTTCTGTAAAGATTATAGCCAAGAAAACCCTATGGGGCAGTTTCACTCTGTCACACAGGCACATGGGGTGCTATGAGTTGAAACTGGACTCAGTGGCACCTAACCGCACCACCTCAATGTAAGGTCCTTACTTGGAGTCTCTAGGTGGTACAAATGGTTAATGCATTTGGCTGGTAACTGAAAGGGTGGTGGTTAGAGTTCACCTAGAAGTGTCTCTGAAGAAAGCTTTGGCAATCTGCTTCTGAAAAAAAGTATCCATTAAAAACCCTATGGAGCACATCTCTACTCTGACACTCATGAGGTTGCCATGAGTCTGAATTGACTTGACAGCAACTGGTTTTTACCTTCCTCACCACCTTACATGTTTTCCTTTAAATTTTATTTTATTGTTAATGAGAATGTACACAGCAAAACATACACCAATTCATCAGTTTCTACATGTATGATTTTGGTGGCATAGTGCCTAAGGCATTTGACTGCTAACCAGAAGGCTGGCGGTTCAAACCCACCAGCCACTCCTCGGAAGGAAGGTCAGGCAGTCTACTTCCATAGTGATACTGCCTCAGAAACCCAAGGAGGGGCTACTATGAGTTGACTTCGACTCAGTGGCAGTGAGTTTGGTTTTTTGGTTTTGGATGCCATTGTTCCAGTTGTGCAGCTATTCTAGCCCTCCTTTTCTGAGTTGTTCCTCCCTCATTAACATAAACTCCCTGTCCCCTAAGTCTCCTATCTAATTTTTAGAGTTGGTGTTATCAATTTGATGCTATCTAGATGGTTCTTGAAAGAGCATAATGCTCAAGGCAGACCGTTTTTATTTTTTTTAAACTATTGTTGGATTTTAAGAAGACTTCAGGGGATATTTTTGGTTTAAGTTTTACAGATTATCTCAGAACAATAGTTTCAGGGGTTCATCTTCCCTCCATGGCTCCAGAAAGTCCAGAGTCCATGAGAATTTGATATTATGTTCTGTGTTTTTCTCCTTTTGATCATGATTCTTCTATGAACTCTTTGATCAGAATGTTCAGAAATGGTAGCTGGGCACCATCCAGTTCTTCTAGTCTCGTGGCAGAGGAACCAGTTGTTCATGAAGGCAATTAGCCACATATTCCACATTCTCCTCTTATTCCACACTCTCCTTCATTCTTCCTCTGTTGTTCCAGGTGAGTAGAGACCTATTCGTTGATGTGCCTTTGATGGCCTCTAGGAGCTCTGGTGTTGTAGTGATTAAAGCATTTGGCTGCTAACCAAAAGGTTGGTGGTTCAAACCCACTAGCCGCTCCATGGGAGAAAAATGAGGTAGTCTTCCTCCATAAAGATTTATAACCTTGGAAACCTATTGGGCATTTCTACTCTGTCCTAAAGGATCACTATGAATTAGAATTGACTCAATGGCAGTGGGTTTGGTTTGGATGGCCGCTTGTAGGTTTTTAAGACCCCAAGCACTATACAATGAATTAGGGAGTAGAACAGAAGCACTGTACACATTATTAGGTCAAGTAACTGAGATGTCCCATGAAACCATGACCTTAAATCTCCAAACCAAGAAACCAAATCCCGTGATGTGTTTTATTTACATAAGCAGTCTTGGCAGCTGCTCTTTTTTCGCTTTGTCATTGTTGTAAAAGTCTCTGTCACACAAATTTTATCAATTCAAGTTTTTACAGATATACAATTTATTGACAACAATTACAATAATAGGCTGTGTAACTCTACCCTTAATTAACATGATTTTTCTATTACTGTTAATTGCCCATCTCCCCACCCCCTCCAGCCACTGGTAACCACTAATAAACTTTGGACTCTCTATTTTTTATTGTCTTTTTATAAAAGTGAAGGCCTAAAATATTTGTCCTTTTGTGATTGACTTATTTTGCTCAGCAAATGTATTCAACTCCGACTCATGGCGACACCTCTTTGGGTTTCCGAGGCGGTATCTCTATGGAAGTACATTGCCCAGCTTTCCCTTTGAGGAGTGGCTGGTGGGTTTGAACTGGCAGCCTTCTGGTTAGCAGTCAAATGCCTTAGGCACTATGCCACCAGAGCTCCCATCTATACTATAG